GCCTATCCCTTCTGAAGAGTTTATAGCCATCAAGAAAGGCTTATAAACAAAAACTAATCAGCCACTAACAGATAAATGCACAGAAATAAATTAGGAGATAAAATTAACATCTTAGAGGATGAGAGAAACAGGACTAGCAAGGCTGTACCAGAAACATGATGTAACCATACATTGTATATCTTACGGTCTTCAACAGTGTCATTAAAATCAAACTCTATGAATTTTCTTTGGAAGATATGATCAGTCACATACTATTTTAGGCCACGTACAAATATACCAGAGTGTATGGCAAGACAGGCTAACATCAGACATATTTAATAGTATTATCTCTATTCTGGTATTCCAGTATTTTATGATGGCTAATCCAAAGATACACACCCATTATAACTGAATGGGAATTTAGTTTTGCATAAAAAGAAGACTTCAATCTCAACATGCATATTTTAAATGCATAACCTGTTTTTGAATGAGTTTGTGTGGTTTATGCATGAAAGTTGGCATAATGAGTACTAGTTTCATGAAAGAATATTTATGCCAATGGCATGAGGAAAAAGGGTGATTCTAATTAAGTAAACGTTTATTTTTTTTAAGGACATTTAGGAAAGTTCACATCAGGGTAAAACTTTTGATTCCATCAACACTTTACTTTTTTGTAAAACTGGCTGTATAGCAGAGCCAACACATTACAGGTGAGAACAAAACCTAATTAGACAAAAAATTATTTTTCCCTGAAAATACTTCATATTTGACATGCAAATGCTACTTTTCAGTGCTGAAAATTACCTCTCAACTAAAACATGAATAATTTTGATACACAATGAATCAAATAGAAACATTAAAAGTAGAAGAAAATTGGCATGAGTGGAATTCTTACCTATAATAGTAAATTTAAATATTTTAGATGGTAGAGGCCTTCCTGCATAAGTGTCTGCATTACTTTCATTCAATACTACTTGCAGTTTCAAGGTGTAGTTCCCAAGTTTCTGAAGATTTTCTAAACAGAAATACAAATACAATTAGAAAGCAAAAAAGTACAATTATAAATAAACTGAAGATATTGCATATGTGAACTTACCCATTTTTTTAAACCAGTACGGCCATTTTCCTCCATGCTGACTGATATGGGAAATTATTTCTTTATTCCCAGTAGGTGCTGCAAAACAAAAAATTAGCTACATGTATTTAGATTTTACACCATAATTCTTAATTTTTTCATGTATTCCTATGACTCATTATTATCACCTCTAAATCTAATAAATATAAATTCAGCTTCACAATTAATCACATTGATCACAGCTAAAAAAAAGAAAAAAAAAAATCAATTCCCTACCTAATCCCATTTTAATTAAAAAATGCTAGCCTCAGACACATTAAACTGAAAGAAGCAGGTGTGTAAAGTTGAATTTTATTAGCTCTTTGGTTATATGCTCCCCGTTAAGTCTGAGCGCTTGTGGGCTGAGCACTCCACACTGGCAACTGATCAACTTGGCAAATGACCCTAACAAATTAGCTTAAATAGGAACAATGGTAAAAATGCGCAGTTGATTGAACGTATAATTAAGGAAAAAAGAACGTTCCTTTTTTCCTCCAAATTATTGTATCTGCCTTTATAAACACTTATGCAGCATTAAGACACACGCAAGAAGAGAACACACTGAAACTTCAAGGCAATTTTTTAGTGACTGGTTCTATAACCCAAGATAAATAGAGGAATAAGATTTATTGTTTGAAACTTGAAGAGGCATTAATATATTTGTTTTTTCAAAATATAATTTAGAATAAATTCCGACTGGGACTGCAATAAGACTACACAGAATAAAAAGAAATGCAGTAAAAGTATGCATTGTTCTATAGTTAAGTACAACTGTTTCAGACCCTGTTCTTGGACCAAATTGCATACATAAGATAAAGTAACAGTTGTTAACTTTCTTAGGTATATTTCTTTGAATGTGTAATTCTGGAATATTGGGTTATTAAAATAAATTTTGATCATGTTTTGTAGTAAGAGTTAATTCAGTTTTCTATATTGGGTTTTTTTTCCACCTTTGGTAGTTACTAACACTGAGAAAACAGCTTCTCAAATGAGTGCAGTTTTCCTATTGCAATGTCAACTGCCACCAAGTTAAACTGAGAGTCTGTATTATGCAAGACACACACCTGGAAGATGCATGCCTTTCTTCTTGTATTGTCCCAATATAGATAGATCATCTAAGGTGGAAATTTATCTATAGGAAGTGAAGAAAGTCTAACACTTCTGTGCATAGTGATACGTAAAAGATGACAATAAAACAAATGGGACCTTGGAAGAGAACAAACGAGAAAACCCTGGCTTTTAAAGGTACGGCTGTTATGTTCTGATGTTCTCTTCTGAAAGAGGAGACAATCCCAAGAGTGGTTCTGTGCAAGAAAGTTATCAGGTATGTCCAATGTTGTTGTTGTTGTGGTCTCTGTGATGAAAAAGCATCCTGATGTTTTATTTGAACAACAGACGAAATTATTTCAGTGGAGCCACATTCAAAATTTAGAACTTTCTTGGCAATTTCACCATTTTTCCCTTTGGCAGAGGAAAAGCCCTTCAAACACTTGGTATTAGCAGTGATTAATGAACTCTCCTCTGTTGTTTTGCTAGAAAGTACCATTAGGACTTCCTAACCACCATGTTCTTAATTGTTGACACTTCCACACAAACATATTTATGAATATTAACAGCATCCCTACAGTCACAGATACAGAAGGATGCACTTGGTGCAAACTGTGTACTGCAAACAGCACAAGAAATTAAGTTTTTATAGACACCGTAGGGTTTTGCAAAAAATAAAAACCTGAGGCTAAATTATTTAAATTTGGTTGTTTTTCCTCATGCAGAAACAAAAGAGAATTCTCATTCATTGTTGCAAGGGGTTTTTTTGTTTATTGTCTGAAACCTTTTGGAAACAAATGTTCTTCTAGAAGCAAAACGTACCTTTTACTCACAGGATTACTAGGGCACCAATGTTTGCTTCTCATATGAAAAAGGTTTCCACGTATAATATTCTGAAAACAATGGATAACTAAAGGTCCCCGCTACAGTATAATATAAATCCATGGAGAGTACAGACAGAGGAAAAACATCTGTAATTTTATTTCAAATGACATTTTAATAGGCAACAGCCATAGCCTTCCTGAACTGGGAGAATTCAATGGTGCATGTGTCAGAGACAGACAGATGCAGCCGAACAGCATCTCCCATTGTGGTTTACAGGAGGGAAATGGCAAGATAATTGGCCAGAAGAAGTCAACTAAGTTCTAAAATAAATACTTCGGTGATGAAAACAGTTTGCTGAAGAGCTCAAAAACCTGAAAATATGCCTCACTATAGCCACAGAACCTAGTTGAGTATTTTAACAGAGGTACATGCAATTTAATTGAGTAATCAGGATTGATTTAAAAATAATCTTCTGAGATAGAAATGCTTATTTCTCAGCCTCACCTTAGACAAGAATCACCCAGGCATGACTTTGAAAAAAAACTTCCCAGAACCCACCTTTCCTGGTAGCCCCCTCTTTCCCAGCAGCCTCCTTCCTTTTATCAACCCTAACTTGAAATTTTAGAGTGAGCCTTAGAGAAACAACCCGCTGACAGCCTGGGAAAAAACCCAATACATCCAAACAAGCAAAAACAAAACCAAAAAACCCTCACAGCCCTGTTCTCCTGGCAGTCCACGCCTCCCTTTGGCAGACACTTTTCATAGGCAGCTCTCTTTATCCTACTCTTTCATGTGGTAGCCCCTTTGTGTTCCTGCTCCACCTAGATCCTTCAGCTTTCTCTTTCTCTCAGCTCTAACCCATAATGCCAACCTTATTTTTTGGCCAAACCTTATAAGCCCCACCTTGTCATGGCCCAGATAAAAAATTTCTTGTATCCCAGCTGTCTTGCCAGCCCTCACTTCCCTTGCCCAAACTCTAGACAAGGGGCTCCTGCCATGGTCCAGACATGAAGTTTCTCACAGTCTAGTTCTCCTGCTATCCCACTCTCTCCTTTGGCAGCTCCTTTTATCTCCACCGGACCCCTCGACTTTATCATTCTCTCAACCCTAATTCAAACCCTGATTTTGAATCAAACCTTGTATAAGTAACAGACCACATAAGAAGTTTCTCATAGCTCAACTCTCTTGGCAGTTCACAGTATATTTTGCCAGGTATTCCACTCTCAAAAAGAGAACAGAAACTTTTTGTGTGTTATAAGATGTTTGCTGTTGGCCTTCGTATGGGTGTAACCACGTTAGTACAAATGAGAACTTTATATTATAAGACTAGGGGGTTGAGTTTGACAGGTATGCCATGCCCAAACTGTCACTTACAGGACTTATTCATTGTTCTGGTGAAGAACAGGGGGATTACACTAGTGATTCCCCAATTGACTAGAGACAAAAGTTAAGATAGGAAGCAGTAAAAACGGTTGTAAGTACAAATTTCCATCAATGAATCAAAGTGGTCAGGAGACACGAAAGGCCTGAAGATAGACTTTCCAGTGATTAGAGGCAAAGGGCAAACTTAGTTTTATTTCTCCTAGCAACAACACTGAGAAAACACATCAGAAACACCATGCCTCTTTCAAGTTTATACATCCTGAAGTCAGGATGGTCTACCTTAGTTAAGGTGGCAAAACACTGATTTGTCCCCCAGGCTGTTAGCAAGTACAATCTGATAATCCGTATTACGTGAGTATGTTTTTTTTCATTCCATGCCCCAGCATACTACTTTGGACAATGGACATGCACAGCAGACAGTCCCCATACAAGTGCCATTAAAATACCATGTGTAGCCTTACAACATGTATACTAAACTGCAGCTAAGATACTTCCATTTGGTTTCCTGTGACATATATCACTACAGTAACCTCAGTTCTTCAGAAAGGTATTTTTACAACTCTTATCAGATAAAGGTATTGGATTTTCCTATTGTGTAGGGAAAGAAACAAGGCAAACATGATTTTAAGTTTCTACAAATTTCAGATATATTTGACGTGTGCAGGATTGGAGTTTTCAGAGAATTCAGTGTTCAACACACAACTAAGTAATTTCATCTGCCTCAGAGAGAACGTAATTCTTCAACAAATGCAATGTAAGAATATCAAGTGAAGCACCAATAAAATGGAAACCACAGAAGAGTAACTCACAAGAAAGTTGATTTTTTAAAATTCTGAAGTGACTTTACGTTAGATACTAAACAAGTCTGGTCCCTACTTTTATGCAGATCATGTGAATTGCTATGTTAATTACAGAAAAATTATCCATTTTAACCATGTTCTCATGCATATTAAGTAGATAGCCTGGAATTGACAGAACGTGACAGAAGATGTAATCATAACATAGCATTAAGACATTAAACATTTGGCATTGAAGCAATAGTCATTTCATGAAGCGTGGCTTTGGAGTACTACATGCTCCGATCAAATATTGTCCTTAAAATTAACAGCTATATCCATCTATCAAATTCTAAAACATATTATTTGTATATACGCAAATAAATACATTATCCATTATGCATTTTTAAAATAATAAAGACTCAGTTAAATATACTGAAATACTTACAATGTAAAATAACCTTGAGTTCAACAAGAAGTTTCTTCGAACCTCCGTGGCTTGTACCTGGAAGTTTTTGCATTGCTTCTCCTTTTTTATTCAAAATTACTATTCTTAATGCTCCTGTATTTAAAAGGAAAAATGATGGACTTTTAAAATACGATGTGTATTATAAGTGATGGGAGTTTTCCGTATGCTTGTTTTTTTAACAAGAGTGCATAATATATTTTTAAATTGACATTTTCCTTTTTAGTATTTGGAAGAAAAAAATATACCTATTGGTGTACCAGCAAATCTTGTTTCATTTGGTAATAACTCATCTCCTTCAGGCCATGTTACTGATAATTTATCAGGAAGTCTAGTGAAAAAGAAAGAATGAACAGTTTCTCTGTGAGTTAAAAAACAGGGTAATTTATCTTTAGTAGAATATACATGAAGCTATTTTTTTGGGGGGGCGAGGGCGGGGAGCAGAACCCGAACTATTTATTCTTGGTTTAGAGTTCTAGGGTTTTTTTGTTTCTACTGAAACAGCTGACTTCTTTCCCATTTGGGAATAAAACTGAATTTTCTTTGTTCCTGAAGAAATACTAAAACTGTTTTTAGGAACTCCACAAGTAAATAACTACAACTTAAAGCTTACCTTGCCATTTCATCCTCTATATATTTTTTAACAGCTTTGTCAGACACTGTTCTGTCAAGTTTTGAGATTGGAACAGTTTTCATTTCAGCATACAATGCCTGAGGTTCCTGAAAAAAAAAAAGAAAAAAAAACCACAAAAAAACCCCAAACCCAACAATCTGAGTGCAGTTATAAACAGCCAGATTATAATATGTCAGAGAAGAAATACCTCTCTATCAAGGGACTAGAAAAATCGACACAGACATAATACAACATGCTAACAAATACTACCTGGTAACACCACAAGACACTGTTCTAAAATTTGCTGAAATCACAAGAGTTAAGAATGGATACAAAACATACTATTGATACCAACTGTGATACTCTATTTCATGTGCAAATTTAAATAAATCAGATCGCTAATCATGAATAATAATTTTAATATGTTTACATTAAAACTAATGTAACTAAGTAGTTTGATTATTTCTAGATTGTTGAATCTCAAAAAAATACCAGAATTTTCAACAGTTATTTAAAAGTAATTTAAATAAGTCTGACCCAGGATTATGTTTAAAGATTCCATAGGCATACTAGGTATGTGAATCCTTTTTATATTTGTCTTACCAAAGCAATTTGAACCTCTCCTCCAGTGGCATATATATCCCCATCATGGTCTCCATACAAAAAAAACTTCTCAATGCTTCCATAGAATATTGGAAGAGTCTTAACAGTTTTCACCTGTGAAGAGAAGACAACAATTAATGTCAATACATTACTTCTGCATCAAATGTATAGTATTTGCCTTTTATAGAGTTCAAATGCTCTATTACAAAACAAACAAACAAAGCCCCAACATCAGTGAGCAACTAACTTACCAGCTGTCCAGTTTTGTATGTTTTCCCATCCCACTCTATTGCAGCATACATTGTCCAAGGGCTCTGCATTCTTTTGGATGGTAAATCAGTACGTGTAGTTACTCCTTTAAAGACTGTGAATTTTATCTGTTTGTCGTATTTTTCATGACAGTCTTTGAGCCACAAAGCAAATTCTCTGTCAATTTTCATTCGCTGCTCCTATAAAGAGATTACAAAATAAATACATATTATTAATATATTTCAAAATTTAAATCTGACAACTTCAGAAGTACGAACAATTATAAGAGTACAGCGATACTGTACTAAGAAAAAACAGATTCTTCAGCTTGGAAACATTACAGAATTCTAGGAAAGCTATACTTCAAGCCAGAGAAAGTGTTCCCCTAGCACCCATATTCCTCTATGAAGAGGGTCTTTCCACAAAAACTGTCATATAACAACTAGATAAAGTCATTGTTTAAGAAAATAAAAGGAAAAAGACTATATCTTATTTTTTCAGATTTAAAGAGTCAGCTTTACTACTCGCTAAAACTGAGAGAAGTGTCTGCTACAAAGTTCTGCAAAAGTGCCCAAGGTGAAAGTTCTTCAGAAACCACGCAATATTCAGTGACATGAACAAATGACCAGTAAGTAAGGGTTTCTATATCATATGCATTAAACTTTGCCAAGAAGAAATACTTAACAGAATAAAACGATTACCTGTCCATTGAAGATTCTCGTAAACAAAGTATTCTTATCTTTTAGCTTCAGCTCCAGATCCATGAAAGTGAGTTTGTTTGTGCTGACCTGAAACTTATCGTTGGTAAATAACGCACCAGAAATTCTGTTGTAGCATTCAACTGGTGCCAATCCTCTCTTCTTTGGAGGAGCACACCAGTCAAAACTTAAACAACAGGAGAAAGACATTAAAACCCTTTTTTATAAAGAGGGTTTTACGTTATAGAAACAGACTGGTTTACATTGCAGAAACAGATTACCACTTACTCTTCCACAGTTGTGTATGGTATTAATCTTCCATTCCAAAAACATTCAAAAATAGGCCTTTTGCCTCTGGCACCCTTTTCTACTATAAAGCAGTCGTCATCATCATCGTCGTCATCATTTAATTCTTGATTAAAAAGAAGACAGTCTCCATGAATAAATTTCTTTTAAAAACTAATATATTATCAAAAACCAGAGCAATCTAAATTAAGGATTATCTATACTTATTAAGTTAGGCACAGTAGCAGTACACATGATATCAAGCTAGGTATATACAATATTAGTATTTTTTTTTCCCTGTTTAAGAAATACCAAGCAGAAAAACTAAGAAAAGCTAAGGAAAAAATTTAAACAGGGATAGAATAATATTACCAAATTTGCAAATTTCAAATTTGAATAAATATTACTTTTTCCTCTTATTAGAAGAACATCAGTTGAAACTATCATAAAATCTTTTCACAATTAAACTCAAGATTTGTTTTGCCAAAAAAACAATCACCAACACAAATTATTTTAAAATCCTAGCATCTGAAAACTCATCAAGACTGGATAAAACAGATTTTAAATTAAGAACTTAGACTACATGTTGTTCTCTGCGGTATTCCGATGTTAGAATCTCTTGAATCAAACTGCGGGTGTTTCATTACTTTCTCGAAGCAAAGATCTAACAGTCAGGAAAGTGGAAATGTTTCAATCAGACTGCATTCCATAAGAGTTTATAGTTTGAAATCAGATGGTGTTATGTCAAAGATCAGGTTTATGTGAACGAGTTACCACAACAGCCAATTTGTTCAGAGGATTTGGTAATCCAAAAAGATGTGAACTTTTCTGTTCTGCCACAATCCAAATTAGATAATAATTTACACTTCAATTTAAATTCTTCTAGTTTCTATTTCATTAAAACATTTAGAGTAGTAGGATTGTCTATAATAGGATGGATAAGCAGCAAAACATTTCACTCACTTGATGGAAAACATGGATCATCGGGGTATGTTTCTTTATCATACAGGAAGGGATGATATCGGATGATGCCTTCTACTATACCTTCTCCTTCAACATGTGCCTTAAACTCAAAACTATCTGCTGCAGTATTTATATACAATGTCTGCATGTCATCTTTGATCTCCCTAAGATTGACAATCTTTGGTACTTTTCCTTTTTCGAACATTGAAATCTGGAAAAAAAAAAAAATTATTTCATTTTCCTTAGACCAAAAAACCTACAGTAATTAGCATTTGTGACATTTAACTTACCTGTTAGCAAAATGAATTTGTTCCTATGCGGCAATGATAAATAGTATTACTTTTTAAAAATTAAATTACATACGTATCTTAAAATGCTGCTGTAGTTCAAAATGCATGACTAAAGAGAAACAGGCACAATATGAAATAAGTTGCCATCAAAGAAGAACTTTGACTAGTAACTATAAAATCTCTTACCTGAATGTCAATGTTGTTGAAAGGGCTTACATCTTTTGTTACAGCATTAGTTTCATTTCCTTTTGGTCCATGGATATAATAGTGATAGATATGTCTGAAATACATTTTAAAGGAAAAATAAATCTCAGAAAGTGAAATTAAAAAATTGCATGTTATCATTTTCAAAAATCTAAATAAACTCGTATTTTTATTAAAATATAACTGGTTCATTGCATTGTTATAAATCAACTCCATGACAACATGTATATCTGGTACAGAAGATTTACTAAAGGGAGTGAATGTCTCCTTTTCACTCCTTTTAACTCTCACCTCCTTCATGCACAATCACATTAGGATCAATTTTTTGATAAAATAATTAGAAACATTACAAATTGGAAAATAATATATAAGTGAAAAAAAATTATGATTGTTACATGGCTACAGATCCTTTCAATCAAAGTGCAAACTAATAAAACTACTGTAATTTGTTCTGTACTCTGGAGATTAAAAAGAACTAGGGCCAAAAAGCTTTCCACACATTGTTTCTGACATCAGTTTTGTATTGATCATCTAATAGCAATAGAAACATTTAACAATCAATCACTATCCTTCAGTTATTTGCAAAAAGTAAGATACCCCATTTGAATATAGACAGCAGTCATGGATGTGATCTGCATATTAGAAATAATTTTTCTATTTGTAAACATTATTTTCTAATGACACTTGTGCTCATTTAAGAAACTCAAAAAAATCCACATGGTCAGATAGATTAATTATTTTCATAGATATATGAAGTTTGAGAAAACAGAGGAACTTAACTATTTACTTCAACTTTCCAGCAAGCTAGCTAATTCTTCCAGCTTCAAAGACTGAGTCCTTAAATGTCAGGGTAGTGGTTTGCAGAAAAATGAGATTATACAAGTCAATGGGACTGAATGCATGAAGGAAGTTAAATACACCTGTAAGTGTTTATAATCGCTTTGCTTCCGACATCCACTGCACTAAATGCACCCCAAGTAGAAATCTTGGTTTCCATACAAAAGCTCCTCATGGTCTCATTGCTCAGGACTTTAGAGCAGACTAGTATATCCAAACTGCTTAGCATTTTGTCTGCATTTCTTCCAGACATCAAAAGGTGCTCTCATGGCCTTATGACATAATTATTTTGGGGGTTCATCTCCCCTCCCTCCACTTCAAAGCATCTGAAACAATATGAGGGCTGTGCTGTAGCCCATTAAAGTAGAATGAAACTGGTATCATGCATGTGTGACAAAAGGCATGGCAGAAGGGTATGTGGAGGTGTTTGAGGGGAAAAAGGCCATCACAGCCAAAATAGTGATGCAGGACCGTGTAGCACCGGGAAGCTAAGTCTGATTGGTTTTACTGTAATAGCTCCAGGGCATATACTTGAATAATTGCACCTGGGTTTCATCTCAAATGGAGGCAGTTCTTTCACTTCATGAGATTGCTGCGGTGAACTAACACACACCTAAGTGTGGGTGTTCACCAGAAGAGCACCTAGAAGCTAATGAAAGACCTACGTTATCTGTCAATGTAGATGTACCTCTACATTTTCATGAGGTTAAAAAGGGTTCCAGCCGCAAGTCCTTACATGCAACACTGAATGATGTTTCATATAATAAGGTATTATCTAATCCTTATATTAATCCTCATATTAAGTATTATCTATTATTATTAGATTATAGGCAACACAAAAATAAAATTATAGCTTGAAAATCAAGTTCTATGGTTAGCCAGATTTCAAAATTGGGCTACAACTTCATAGTTCAGTTTACATTCACAGATAGATCCATCATCTTAACAGATAAGCCCGCAAGATTCACAGGTATCACAGACTTCCATATCTCCAGGCTCTGCAGGCCCACTGATGACACTACTATGGTACTGAGTGGACAGTATCATATATCGCTCTCCCTTTTAAACTGGGATGAAGCAGCAGCTATTTTGCTGTTGTTGTTTTAAAAAACAAAAACAAAACAAAAAAAAACCCTGTAAATACAAAGCTAGATATCAAGGTTAGGAGCACAGCTGTGAGAAAAGTAACTTACCAAGTTATTAATAATGAGATATCTAATTATTACATTAATAATGTAACTATTAAATTGAATAGGTTATTAATAATTAGATTGGATAATTATGTATTAATTATCAAGTCACACTGAAACTGATGTTTGTAAACATCTTTGTTTGGATGGGGGGCCCCCATTCAGTTGTGCTAGTTTCTGTAAAATCAAGTAGCTAGGAAAGACTAATTGTGTCATCAATAAAATGTGCACCAACAGCCTTGACAAGAATAAAGCCAATGACTATGTACAAAAAGGAAGTAATTCATAATTATCTGACTTTGTTAGTAGTCCACTTTTAAATCAAATCTTTTAAATCACCAACTTACGCCAGCTGCCTTGTCCAAAGATGAAAGTAGTTTTTCAAGTACTGCATGTGCTCTGGTTGTACACCTGTAATGACAACTGCTGTGAAACTCTCTTTATCCCTTTCTTCTAATATTAGGTTATGAAGAAATCTTTCATCATCACTTGTGATGTGAGTAGAGTCAGATGGCTACAAAAAGAATAAAATAATAAGAGCATAAATGTAAACTGAATTTCTGAACTCCCATCAGCTCTGAAAGAGATTAAAAAACAGAACAGGAAAATAATACAGAATACATGATGCTTACATCACAAAAGATTAATACATAAAATAAAATCTTCCAAATTAAAGTCAACAAACTGAGAAACTGACATCCCTGATCCAGTTCATCTTCAACTCACTTTCATCACGGCATTTGAAGTGTTCAGTCTAGAAATTGCATTTAATCATGTTTAATGTGGCACTGTGCAATATCCATGTTCTCATCCATCAAATGGAACTATTATGCGTATAAGACATAAGTCTTTTGTAAGAAAACCAAGCCAGAAAAAAAATTATTTGCTTTTAAATGGACAGGCTGCTTTCTATAACAGAAATTGAAGTGGAAGAAACATGCATTTGCTGTGGAAGAGAAAGGGTGAATCCTCAGTTCCAGCTGAAATATCCAGTAGTCTCACAGGAACAGAAACTCCTGATTCTAGAAAGTCCTGATTGTCTTTTCCTGGATGGATGAACTTTGCTCTTATGATAGGAAGTTTCTAAGCTGCATAGAAACACAGTGGTTGATATCATGCTTCATGCTGGACCAGTGAATAATCCTTTACATTTGGTACATCCAGAAAAGAAGCTATTTTTAATACAAAGATTGAGATATTTATAGCAATTGCAAACAATTGGTACAACTGAGAAGATATGCTTTTCCATGCCGTAGTAAATGCAGCTTCATGCTTTGTTTTGCAGCAAAACAGGCAAACAGGAAACACATCACTGAGTTGGTGAAAGGACACATCTCTTACCTAACTGTAGACGGTGAAATATGTTAGCCAAGGGAGTTCTGTTACGATCTATTTTCCCCAGGGAATCAAAGAGCTCTCCTTAACCAACAGGATAATTTAACCAGTTGTGGGAACTTTCATCAAAAAAGACTGCAATTCTTTAAATGCTTTCTTCTGCCCACAGCATAGCCTCTTTTAAACCTAACAGTCTTGCTGATTTCATCCAAGCAAGGGGCTGTTTCTATGATAGTGAGGAGATGACAGATAATAAAGAAAAGCCAGAGCCCTCAACTCTGCATGATTTGACCAATGACCTAGGAGCTGCATGCACGTGTTGGACAAGTGCTATCCTGTACAACTTACAGACTTAAAGTGCCTCTGAAATGTTGTTCCCAAATTCTTTGGTTGCCTTCCCACTACGATGACAAACTACCGTGGCACTTTCCCCTACATTCCTAGCAACCATCTCGGCTAGAAAAGTAGTATTTACTTGTTGGCAATATTAAATGGTCCAGGGAAGTGAGTGCAGTAAAGACAGGTGCCTATTATCCATCAACAGAAGATGATCGGCTGGGGTGCCATCAGTGCCACTTCTCTTCAGTGTTCTGGCCTTGTTCTAGAATGTCTGAGGTTTGATATTAATTACATCTTGATTTCTTTGCAAAAGTAACTTCCTTTACCAACTCAATTCCTCAAAGACTTAATTACTCTTCTCACACTGCAGTAATCCATTATAACTTCTATTTCTGTCATAATATTCTCTTGCTCACCTATGTGCACTGCAGACCATTTTTCAAGACATTAAAGAGACAAATTCACACATTTAATTTCACATCAATATAACGAACTGGCCTGGCTATTTCAATGCTTTGTAAAAATTTCTTAGACCTGAGTTGTCTATCCATTATCTCCACAATTCCATTACTTGAGTGCTTCACATCATCTCTTCCTTTTTGGATATTTAGAAGTTATTTTTTACCTCTAACAGAACTTTACTTGCAATTTTTCTTTAACCCTGTCAACTTAACTTTCATTTTATATTATTACAACTTTTCAAACAGTTGATTACACCACCTTTCTGAATTCTTTAGTAGTATCTACACATCTCATTCTGCTAGCTTCCTCCAACTGGTATCTGTTAGCTTATTTTCTACTTTTCTATCCCCCACCCTCCTTTTTTAATATCAAATAGGGAGGGAAAGCATTTCTGCCCTCTACAAAAAGCAGATTTTTTTCTGTTTTTATTTTCAGTTTCTATTTCTGTGACTCTGCCTTCTCATCTCTATTGGACAGAGATTAAAATTAAAGCTTATAAATTTCTGACAATTCATTCTTTGCCACAAGTCACTGACCCAAGACTGGCATGATAAAAACTCTATTTACCTCCTGTTCCTTTCTCACCCATACAAAGTTCAAGAACACTGATATAACGCACAAGATACGGGCTATAATCAAGGTCTGATTACCTCGTCATACACAGCACCCACTTATGTTCCCATCTGCACCCTTAGCTGTATCTTTGCCTTTATCTCCTTGCTCAAATATGTCCAAAAAACAGTTCCTTTCGGTCTTCCTCTTCATCTTATGGCTTTTTGCTTAAGCTTTACTTCTTCACAAAAAACATCAGGGTTTTGTTGATCTGGCTGACTTTTCTCCCATATGCAGGGTAGTTCTTCTACATACTTCTAAATAATACACAGTTTGTTTCCCTAATTTATTCCTTAATACCTCAGAGAACAGACATTTTTCTTTCTGTTTCATACATAACAGAACAATTGCTGTTCTTAGAAAGATCTTTTTAGGTATTTTTCTTAAGCTGATATGTCAAACTATATGGTGTTTCTGTCCTTTAAGCTAAACTCAAAAAATAATCACATACAAATAAAGCCTTATGATATAGTGTCTCAAGTTTCCCATTACTTCCTTTTACACTCCAGAGTGCAAATGATTCATAAGATAAAGATATCACCAGATAAGTATTACAAGAATATTACACAGTGAAATCATGTTAATCTGGGAAAGGCTTTCAATTAAAAAAGAAAAGAAAGTATTAAGGCCATTTACCTTCCTGTTTCGAATGTATCCACTATATATTGCTTCTTTGTTTTTCTCCTTCTTTTCAAAATCCTCTTTAGAAAGGACAAGTTCATGAACATCCTGAGAATCTGCAGGTTTGCTTATCATCTGTTTTTATTAAAGAAACAGCATTTAAAATAAAAATAAGAGTTAAAGTGAACATAATGCTTAATCACAGCTTAATGCTGTGATTAAAAGCTAGGAGAGTAACAATCTGATTATGTAAAAATGTTTTAAAATAAAGATTGACATTTACTTACTCTGGCAGACTGTCCAACGAAGAACACTGCTTGTTTGCCTCCAACTCCAAAATATGAGATATCACTATTTAAACTACGAGGTACTGGCAAAGGGCGTACATATCCTGAATGATCACTGACAATAAAAGTGGCTTTAATAAACTTTCTCAGGACAAGCATCATTTAAAAAAAAAACAACAAAGAAAACAAAACCAAAAAATCCCCACTTCTGATCTAAACAGCTTGTATTAAATTCTCCCTGCAGTCACTTTGTTCAAAATTCCTTCATTTTAGATCTGTTATAACTGCAACATTAAAATGTGCCTAAAATTATTGATGTTTTTTTTAAAAGGATGTTGACAGAGTAACTCTTTTCCTAAGTCATCTTATAAGACACTTCTGTCCCTTCTAGCAAACCAAATCTTATTATGTCATACATATTCAATTTTTAAATCTGAATAACTCTTTTGCTTATTACTATCTCTACAATTTTTTTACACTGAAGTTCGGATGAAAGAGAGGAAAACATTTGGCAGGGAGAATCTGATAGAAAAAGAAACTATTACCCTGAAAACTTTTCTCCATTGTTACCTCTGCAGCAGGGACATGGTGAATAGGTCTGTGAAATAGGTACTGCGGTAACAGCAATTACACACAGTTTTAATGGTAGAAGGTAAAAGGCAAATCTTTCAGTGCTCTCCTTTTGACTATGGCAAGATATTAACTGTGAAGCTGCTGCAAATGAAAATGGATTACAATGCAAGCCTGATCTTTCTGACATCATCCATTCATAAAAATAGTTTTGAGTCAAAATGGGAAATAATGCCAACCATTAAATGCAGTCTTGGAGAGACTACATATGTCATCAATAATTAAATTCCATGTCTTTTGAGTCAGCTTTGATGGATGAACAGTCTTACTTAGTTTAAGCAAATAGTAGGACAAACATCTCGTTCTAAATCAGAGCAATCCCAAATGAAAACAAGGTGTAGATGGTATCCTGGTATAATTTACACCTATGCTCCCACTGAATGGTATCAACCCACAGTTTAAACTTGTAGCTTAAAAATACTACACTTTTCTACTGTTACTAAATTCACCTACAGCAATTTCAAAAAGCAGTGAATTTCTCTAGGTAAGATGACCCAGAATCACTTTTGATGCACTTATCTCCAGTCGTTTGATAGATATTGATCATTCTATTTGGAGATGCAACCAATGCAAAAAACCCTCTCCTCAGCTCTATTACCACTTTCTACTGCCCCATTACTTTTTACACTAGCTTCTAATAGGACAAGTTAGTTATGATTGAGGCTGTGATCCTTATCTTCAAATTTACTGTCCTAGGCGTAAAGTATTTAAAAAGTGACTAAAGCTCAAGAACTGTACATAACTGCTTCTCTGGAATTTTCTACTCTAGGGTTAAGCCTGGCTGTGCAGGTGGAAGATCTCTTGGGAACAGATTCAAAACTGTAAAATGAATTTATATAAGCACCAAAACCCACCATAAACCTCTATTTCTTCTTTAAATGCAAAACATTTATTTTGCCCAGCCTTCTTCAACAGACAGACATCTTCAGGTATAATTTTGCATTACATTGTACACAATTATGGTACAAAACAATAAGAAAACCTAAACCAAAACCCCGTACCCATTATTCCAGTAGCATAACAGACATTGAATGCATTCCTTAATGCACTATTGAAAGGCTTTCAGGTAACAGGTAACACTATAAAAGAAACTCTGCAGAACATAGAATGTCCCTAACTGTATGTAGGCAAGTCAAAGACAAGACAGTTTAGAAAAGGCCACAAGAACAAAAAACGTTCTCACAGTATCATAATATTAGAAGAGCGTTTTTGTGTTAGAAAGCATCTCCATTTCCTACCTACACAAAATATGTGTCTATTTACGTGTAATCATAGAATGACAGGTTTTAGCTAAGTGTTGGTATAGATATTCTGTGAACCTTCACAGAGTTTGCTAATTGTTGTAAAAATGATTAAAACTTTCTAACCTCTCGAAGTCACCTTGTCTTGTAAACTTTGACAGTCTATATACAGCCCAGTTATTAAGCTGTTTAGAAGTCATTCCTCTTCCGTTATCAATCACAGCAACAGCTGGTTTTCCGTGGGAGTCATCAAACAACTGTTTGGGGAAAAAAACAAAAAACAAGGAGCACCAGAAAAAAAAAAGATAATGCAAACTACACCTGAAAAAAGTAGACTATTTTTATCTTACCAATTTTATCTGTATGCTCCGAATACCAGTATTTTGGCATGTAGCTGATAGAGAATTGTCAATCAACTCAGCAAGGGCAAATGCTAAAGAAATTGAAGAAAAATAATCCTATTAAAATCTTGTTCTCAAAAGACAGCACTCAGAAAAAACACACACTCACAGTAGTTTCTTCTGAGCAATTAGGATAACACATTCTCTAAACACACACAAAGGCTAAGCCCTGTCAGAACCACCAAAATTATATTACATCTTGATTTTAAAAAAAGCTTTTGTACAGATACTTTATGATTTGTTTCATCACCGAATCTCTCGTATCTCTGCTGATAGTAAGAACACAATTACTGCAAGTACGTAGGAACAGTGATGAACTAACAGGTTCCTTACCACAAGGCAAACGTGTCTTTTTCCATGATTAGGAATGAATTTGTACGATTCATATGAAAGTCCAAAGTATGTGAAAAACTGACTGACTTGTTAAAATACTGAGGGAAGAATTAACTAATTGAAAAGACCTGAACAGAAATGTTGTAGAATTTCCAAAATAGAAAGTTATTTGTTTACAAAAGGAACACAAAGAAAATTGTAAAAACGGTTGAAGAATTTAGTCAATGGTAAATACAACCAAAGTTCTGTCAGATACATGGCAATACACAGCAGAAATAGTCAGCCAAACTACTTGCACAAGTTTGTTGTTTCTAAACATTAACACTTGGAGCCCTTACCTAATTAAAGTTAGGACTACCTAACTTCAGTGAAAAATTGCACTTAATTTAGGACAACAGCATCAATCTGAAAAAAATACATCAAGTTCAGATTAATTTACTCCAATTGATCAGCCCTAGTGAACAGAATAAACATTTCTATTCAGTCTCTCTGATAAGGAAGTTTTATTCCCTACAATCTGCAAGGTTCTTCAGAATGCTACAGTGCAAATTACACTGGCCATACACTTCAGACATGCAAAATAAATCACTTGAGTATTAGAATCATATAGCAACACTGAAGTATTTAGCAATTTCCCTCAAGCTATTTTTGAAGTATAAAAACAGTTTGCAGTTTCTTTGCAACTTTCTTCGTTGCTAACAACAGGAGTTGAGCATCAGTTATGTGATCCATACTTACCATTCCATATCAAAGAACAATGGCCCTTCATCAACACATGAAACTGGTTAGGCACGCTCTTAGAGATGTTCTAAATAAGGAGCATCAGCTGCAGTACACTGAGACATGCTCAAAATTGCTATATGCTCTAACAGTCAATTCTAGTACATAATAAACAAAGGTAGATAGTTTAATAAAGCTGTTTTGCAAATTTTAATTATTGGTATGTTGCAGAGTTTCACAAACTACTTCACTAGGGTCTCAGAGTGAGAATTAGTAACACATTAGGAAAAAATATACCAGTCATGTCATTACAGAAGTGGATCTAAAAGTTAGTCTGTTTGTAGTCTTGATCATTGTAGTCTCTTTAGGATTGAAGAGTTATGATCACAAGTAGCACGAGAACTTTTGGACCATTTTAAATGCTTTTGTGGTAGCAATATGAACAAATGCAGTACACTGAGAGCTGGAATCCTCCTTTTCCCTGTGTTGCCTATTGCAGAGTACAGACAAGATCAAGAAAGGACTTAAATACATGTGAAAAGTTTCTCACAAACACCTGAAGCTTGTTCTTTCAGAGAGAATGATGATTTAAAAGCACCCTAGCAAGCTGTATTAGCAATGACATGACAGAGAAAAATGTAGGAAAAAAGTTTACTTTTCCCTTAGTAGTAGTAAAGTTATCAAACCACATTGTAAAATGCAGTATTTTTACATGTTGATGGCAGATTTGACCTTGATACAAAATCTCTGGATAACACAAGAGGTTATCATTGGAGTTATATACAGGGAAGCGATAACAATGTGAGGCAACAGAAGTGGAAAACCTTTTATGAAGAAAAGGAGGGAAAAGGAAAAGAAATCATGTGTGTGAGGAACTAAAGGAAAACTGAACATATGCATGCATTATCCTTTTTCGTCTCATATTATTATTCTGAAGCCTGTTGAGAGAAGGAAAAAGGTTTTCCTACCAAGGGAATGCTCAGCATTTCGTGGGAGATGAGTGGTAGCTACAAATCCCATGAACACTTACAGGAAGAACAGTATTAAATGACTTCATAAAGATCTTACGAGATGTAACCGTTCCTTCTGACAAACCAACTGTTTGTTTGCAGTGCTGTTTATTACCATGAAAACAGAGAGTTGGATTGTTATGCCCATACTGGGGAATTTCTCCAACGAAGAAGAGTTACAGTCCTCAGTATATATTAATTTTATTTCTTGATTTAATAATTTAAATTTTGCTTTAGGGAAAAACAAAAACAAACAAAAAAACCCCCAACAAAACGCAAAACCAAACCAAAACCAGCAACACTGAAACAAAAACGCTTTAAAAGTTTAATGTATTTCTAAACTGAAAACTTGTTTAAACATTTGTTTTCTTGACATAAGACACCATAAAAACAGAAGAAGGAACTTCTTCAAGCTCTGTTGTAGAATTTGATGACCGTGCATCATCTTGCATTTAACACACAAATCTGTTTGTTTAAATGCTATCATAAGTAAAGTTAAATAGATGATACTTGCCTCTGATTCTAAAATCCTCTTTTTCTTCTCAGATGAGACTTTTTTTTAAAAAAAAATAGAGGAACAGGGATTGGAAGTTTTGATAAACAGTTATAGAAAAATGAATACAAGAAACCACAGACTATGTATACCTCTTCAAAGCTTAACAGTTCTAATATAAGGTGGTTATAGTAACTATAACTATATGACAGAGGGCTAGATTTCTCCATTTTTCTACCCTTCATCTCTCCATTCTTGCAGTATAGGTCCTTGCTCCCAATTTCCAGCTCTCATCATCTTCTTGTCCCACAAGTTTTGTTGTGCTAGTATTATTAGCAAAATCATATTATCTCCTCGCCTAGCAATGTTATATATATTTTAAAAGGAAACATGAACGGATAGTAGCAAAATTCCTTGGTTTTGCAGCTGAACATCAAATAACAGAAGGTTCTGTGTCTACGCCATTGCACTCAACACCTCACATCATCTTGACATGCCACAGAATTAACAGTTTTCTTTTGTTCATTATTTTTCTGTCCCAGTGGATGGACTGCATGTGTTTTGATATGATTTCCTACTTATACCCTCATGCTCAAGTACTTTTTTTTCTTTTTTTAAAGTCATCCAATGTGGTTGCTAAAGGTGCACTCCTTCAAATCAAGGCTGAACTGCTCTACAGTTTCAGGAATGTACTATGGTTTGACTGCCAGAAGTGCTCATTTGAATCTCATCAAATTCTGTGACTGAAAGAATGGAAATTTTGGATTTCAGTAAAGCTTTCGATACTGTCTCTCACAGTATCCTCCTGGACAAAACGTCCAGCATACAGCTGGATAAACACATAATGCAGTGGGTGGCTGACTGGCTGACGGGTCGGGCTCAAAGGGTTATAGTAAATGGGGTTACACTGGGCTGGCAACCAGTCACTAGCAGGGTTCCGCAGGGATCTATCTTAGGGCCAGTGCTCTTTAATATCTTCATAAATGACTTGGATGCAGGACTTGAAGGTTTGCTATCTAAGTTTGCTGATGACACAAAATTGTTGACGCTGTTGACACTCTTGAGGGCAGAGAGATCTAGACAAATTAGAGAGCTGGGCAGTCACCCACTG